ACCTATAGAATGAAGACCAGACTCCTTAACTTGAAAGTCTCTTCCTTCCCCAGCAACTTTCAATGAGCCTTGAAGAACCTCTTGCTCCCTTTCTTTCTGCCCCATTCTGGAGACTCTTCTCCCACCCCACCCCGTCTCATACTCTCCCTGTAGCTCTGTCTCACACAGCCCCTCTCTGTAAAACTCACCCAACCCCTCCAGTCCATATGGATCCAATTCTCCTCACTTGACACAATCACTGTCTGTGTTCCGGGCAAGAAAAGGATCTAGTTGGTTAGAGCACGGTGTTATGACACTGAGGTCAAGGGTTTGGATCCCCACACTGGCCAGCAGCCAAAAAAAAAAAAAGAGGATCTGACTCTACATAGCACACAAGAACCAAGAGTTCCTGCCAACTGGACCCTCTCTGAATGACTCAGAATAAACTGAGGACATCACCCACCAGCTTGTGAGCACATACATGACTTGGTGACTGCAGGGGCCTGCCTTGGGCTGGCAGCCCAGCATTAACCCCCACCACCTCTCTTCTGGAGAACACATCTTCTTCCTGCTCTCCACACATGGCGGGGCAGGAGAATCTACACTCCACTGTGTCCCCAGCCTGGGAGCACAGACTAAAAATGAGCACCTGATCTAAGATATACCAATGAATTCCTTTTCTGGGACCTTTTAGACTCAAAATCAAGAGAGTTTCAGGCCCAGGAATATTGGGGGGTTGGGGCTGCATCTCCCACCAAGAAGCGGGTGGGGGGAATAAAGCAGGTGCACAGAGAAGACTTGGGGAGGGGACTGCTGGCATCCAAGCCCTGGAAGTAGCTGTTTTGGAAGAGCAGCAGCACCCTGCCATGGGTTCCATGACACAGCCCAGGATCCTCAGAGCAAATTCCCCTTTCCACTAGACAGAGCTCAAGCTGGGTTTCTATTACGTGAAAACTAACAGTCTTAACCAAGCCTGTGACTACTGAAAAACATCTGATTTTTATCTAGAAAAACTGGCGAAGACAAAATGAGGCAAAGAGAAGAAACCAGTATTGGTGAAATAGCGAACGGTCTCATTTCAGATCTTGGCTCTTGTGAGTGGTTCGATCTTAGGTTATATGCAGAATCTCTCTGGGACTCGATTTGCTTTACATAAAACAGGAATCTGGGCAGGATCTTAGACTCAGTCTAACAATTAAAGGAGATGCTGTATTTAAAGCTCTTAGCACTCAGCAAGCACCCAACACCTGATGGCTGCTTTCACTCTCACTGGTCATTTGCCATGAGCCAGGCTCTGTGCTAAGTGCTCCACAAACACCTCGCAGAACCCCCCACAGCAATGATAAAGGCAGCATTGGCCCTATTTCACAAATGAGGAGTGTAAGGCACGGAGAACTGAAGTAACATTTCTGAGGTCACTTAGCCAAGTCTGGGTCTCTGTGATGTGGAATTCCCAGCCTTTCTTGTTTTTTGATTAACTTTCTCACACTGTCCTCTTAAGCACTGGAAAGAACCAAGTCCATGCTTGTTGACCACACTGTCATTCAAAACCCTCCCTAAGAATCCATCCCCACTGGGAGTGGGTGGGAGTGGGGAGGGTTTATTCTGCCTCCAGTTATCGAATTGGGGCCAGGTGGGCTTTGCTAGAAACTCCAGCACATCTCGTGTATTCCCTGCCATGAGACTGTCCATGAGGTTGACAGGTCATAGGAGCCAAAGTTATTAAAGTTAACCTTCAGATTTCTTAGCAGCCACATAAGATACTTAATAAACACAGATTCAATTGAAGGGTTAAAATGCCTGGGACATAAACACAGACTCCTGCACTTTGGGGATGGTTTGAGACCTTTATTTTCAATAGCAAGCTGCTCAGAAATGTCAATTTTATCCTAATTTCCTAGGACTTGAACTGTTATAGGTAAGAGAGTCTGTCTTTCAGTGCTGTACCTAGGATCTCCCAAAACTGGATTATCAAGGAAAGATTTTAAATAGAATACAGAAGCCCAAAATATCAGAAGAGCAAGGAACCCTGAACAGCCTCTTTACATTAAGTGAAAAAGAGAGGCTCAGAAAGCTGAAGAGATTTGCCCCACGCCTGATCTGAGGTAGGGCCTGGCCCAGCGCCCTGGCCTGCTGCTTCCCTATGGGGGCTTGCCCTCACCCCAACTCTGCCTCCCTAGCTACCCTCCTGCCTGCACCCTCCCCTGCCCCTCCTACAGATTAGATGGAGGGGATCGTAAATCATTTCTCTCTCATGAGTTTATAGTGTTCTTTTCTGAGGAGTTCAAAAGAGCTCAGTAATAAACCAGGGTGATGAGTTTATGTCTTCTGCTTTTAAAATGAAACTTTATTTGAACTCCTGGAGAGGCATTTACTTTTTTTTTTAATTTAGGACATTCCTTTCTTATTTCAAGGCTTCGCCCTGTGGCATTTTCTGTGGGCAGGTGGGTGAGGAGGGTGGGTGATGGGGAGAGAGAGGGGTCCGTGTTTAGCCTTCTCCTATTCTCCCAGAGGCTTTTCTGAACGCCTGACTTGGCTGAGGCTGAGAGTCCTCCCTTCTATGGTTTTTAACAAGTCTCAACGTTGACACGGAAGAGTCCCCCACACCCCCACATTGGCTTGTCTGTGGTTTCTTCCTTTGCCTTTTGTGCGTCTCTCCACTGGCCACCTCTTCTGGCCACAGCCAAGAGCCAAGAAATGGATGGAAGATTCTGCTATATGCAGGGGACTGAGCTGCCGGTGAGGATCACTTTGCCTTCCTTTACCTTAGACTTTTGCTACTGCTCTTGGGGGCTCAGAAAAAAAGAAAACACAGCAAAGTTAATGAAACTGAAGCTGAGAACAACCACACTCTAACACAAAGATGAGAGGACGGGGGGTCTGACTCATCTCACCTCCTATACCAACGCAGGTTTTAAACCAATGTGAAACTGTCTTACTTTCTCTGGTTCAAGCTTTTTTGCTAATGATTTCACTCAGGTATAAACTCTAAGCCAAATTGCAATAACTAACTCTATGCAAATGCCACCTACAACTGCACAGCCTTTCCAGACAGAAACACTGGGGGTTGTGGCTTACAAGCAAGCAGAGCCACGTGCTTAGCTTCTGGGCCCCTGCATTCAATAAATATTTAGTGAATGAATAAACTCAAGAAGTACTTAATGATTCAATATACGTCTAGGGTTTTTACTCCCCCTGGCTTCACAGGCCAGCAGGCCAAACCATACAAAACACTCCAAGTAAAACCACTACATGGTTGTTCCAAGAGGAGGAGGAAATAGCTGGTTTCACTGAGGGACTTCAACAAATGCCCCCACCACTAACCCGTGGGAGAACAATAGGGTGACCCTGTGAGCCCTGTTCCAACTCGTTTACAGACACAACAGGCACAGAGATGAAGCCCCACTAGACTGCAGCAAAGCAAATTAGGCCAAGGAGCTGAGCCCTGCATAGCAGCAGTTTCAGCACAGGAGAAAATATTACACTAGGAGCGTAATACCTACAAGGAAAGCACTGTTCCTACTCTTTGGATGTAGCTGGCACTTATCCTAGGAAAACACTAAAAAATTCTCAAGGGGGTCGCTGCTCTCCTACCACCATCAGCAGCTCTGGCCAACTATTTAAATGATGAAGTATCAGGGCCTGAGCCACCTAAAACACTTTGATTCAACTTTGTGAATTGTAAACCAAACAGGTAATAATTCCTGTGGGTTTTTTTTCCCTCAACGAAAGGATAGGAGAATTTGACAAGTAACCTGAAGCTGCTCAGAAGACAAAGGGGATGCAAAAATTACACACAATTTAGACTTGTGACTGTTCCCAGGACCAAAGGTCTTTGAGAAGACACCAAAGGGGATTTCTTCAAGTGTGGGAAAGGCTTCCCTTTCTAGCAGCTTGCATCAAAACCACCTCTTCACCTGCCTGGATCTTCCAAGAGAGCCTCAGGAGGTCAGGAACTAGGATGATTTTTACCCCAGCTTTCTCCCCACAGTACCTAGAATAGCAGCTTTTAAGAATACAGAAAAATATCCAGGCAATAACAGTATTCTTAGGAGATACCATCTTTCCTCCAGCCAAAATTCAAATAACTTCCTCTAAACCTTTCCTTTTAACAAAATGATAAAATTTAAAAACAGGCCTTTACATGTCATGTTTTAAGATTCTTGATGGATGGCTTTCCAAAGTAAATTTATTTCTATGTTATACTGCAGTCAGAAGTAATGTTGACCCTTTTGGCTAAAAAGACTTTTTTAGTACTTCTAAATGGGGTGACAGCAGCAAATGACAGTTTTCTGAAGCTTACTCTTGTGCAGGCGTTTGCATCTCTTCTCACCTTCTAACCACCCTATGAGGTAAGTTCTAATACAGGACTGTAATTGCTGTCTGCCATTCTGAAACCAAAAAAGCTCTAAAACCCAAAAGTTTTTCCATAACTTATTTGGCAGCAAAACTTAATGGACCTGAACTCATTTGGAGGTAAAGCTGCCCTGAACTAACACGAGGCTCTTTAGATTTTAGTTATACCACTTAATGTGAATATCCATATGGTTTGCTACACAAATATGAACGTGATTACTGAGTGCTGCCCCAGATCCCCCAGAGGTTGCTTAATATAAAATATATGCACTTTAATACCTTTTTAAACCCCCCAAAATTTCAGAATTCTGAAACATCTAGCCCCAAGGGTACAAGATAAAGTATTGTGTGTCTCCCCTACTGACCCATTTCACAGACAAAAAACTGAGACTCCTTGAGGGGAAGCAACTTGCCCAAGGCCCCACAGTGGACAAGAGGTAGAGCCAACTCTGAGGCTGACAGTGCCCTTCAAAGCCTAAGCTTGTAAACCCCACAATGGGCTGCTATAAGACACGTCTCAGTCCTCAACTCACATGACTTCACCTAGGAAGGAGCACTGTGTCAGCATGGCTCTTCTCCATAACCAACTATTTGAGAAGTTGGGGAAATGGAAGAGTGGAAAATACCAACAAGAACAGCAATGATCCAGAGGGCCTGGTGCTTACCTTGCCCAGGACAGTAAGGCATGGTTTGGGGTCCAATTCTGGCTGTTCCAGCTTCACCACTCCTACCCAGCCATATTCATACAAGTCCTCTTCGTCATTGTTATTACATAGGCCCAGTGGGTGCATCTAGGAGACAAAATGGAAAGAGAACTTCAATAGGCAGGCTACAGATTTGCTTGACTCACATTGTGCATTTCTTGGACTTGACAACTAAAAGTAGTGTCCAAACTTAAAACTGTAAGCGGGGGGCAGTTATTCAACCCATGGGAGAATCCTATTTCAGCACAATGAGCTGAGCACTGGTGAGAACACAGTAGAGCCACCATAAATATATTTCATGAATGCTTTCTCACTGCTTTTGTAAGTGGTGGTCATCCAAGGTGGAAACCACTCAATAGGATAGAGGAGAAAAAAAATAACATGACTCCCATATAAAATGCTGACCTAAATTGCTGTGAAATACCATAAATTTAACATGAAGTAGCAATTATAGATGAGACTAGCTAGGTTAGTATCCAAGACTGTTTGGCTTCCAGACCTAATAACGCATGTATCTCAACTTATGCAAGAGGACCTGGAAATATCCAGGACTTTGTGGAAAGACCACCAGAAATATGACAGAATCACCAGTATAATTAACAGGCTGTTTAAAGGCTATCCCTTGTTACTGTGAAACAGATGAAATTCTTCAAGGTCTTTTCAAATTTGCAAAGCACAGCATCAAAGATGGGTAGAAGGGCATCATACAGTTTTCATGTGTAAATAGCACAGTCAGTGGAAGCCTGAAAACCAGAACAATCCTAAGGTTTGCATTCACCGTTCTATTATTGAGTTGTATCAGGCCCTAGAAGCCCTAAAAACAATCTTAGAAGAGGAAATCCTTGCAGATAATATAGCTTATCAAGAAGTTGATGAGCCTAGCACTGTGCATGCTAAGCTCTTAAATACGTAGAAAAAAATAATGTCTTTAGATTCATGGCAAGTTAGAGACACGGGTGACCTATGAATCCACTGTAGACAGAATAATGTCCCCAAAGATATCTATGTCCAAATCTCCAGAACCTGTGAATAAATTACCTTACACAGCAAAAGAGGCTTTGCAGATATAACTGCATGGGATGGGGAGATTATCCTGGATCATCCAGGTAGCCTCAATGTAATCATAGGGTCCTTATCACAGAAAAGAGGGAGGTATGAAAGACACAGAGAAGAGATGGGAGAACAAAAGCAGAGGCTGGAGTGGTGTGCTTTGAAGATGGAGAAGGAGGCAATTAGTCAAGGAATGCAGGTGGCCTCTGGAAGGTAGAAAAGACAAGGAAACAAATTCTCGCCTAGAGCCTACGGAAGGAATGCAACCCTGCAGATTTTGGACTTCTGACTCCCAGAACTGTAAGAGAATAAATTTGTGTTGCATTAAGACACTAAGTCTGTAAGGTTGAGCATCCCACATCCAAGATCTAAAATGGTCCAAAATCAAAACATTTTGAGTGCTGACATGACACTCAAAGGAAATGCTCATTGGAGAATTTTGGATTTTTGGGTTTGGGATGCTGAACTGGTAAGTATAATGCATATTCCAAAATCCAAAAAAATCCAAAATCCAAAACACTTTTGATCCTAAGCATTTCAGATAAAAGATATTCAACCTGTAGTAACTTGTTATAGCAGCAAGTAGAAAACTAATATGCCTACTTCATCCTCCACTTGTTTTAGGAATGAGAACAGAAATTCAAGATAGTGGCTTTTCCAAGACAACACAGCCAGCAAGTGGCGCACCCAGAGATGACCCAACCTTCGGATTCACAGGCCAGTGCCTTCCCACTCTACCTGCTTACTTTATTGTCCCTTACTCTGAGAGCTGACCATCTGATTAGGGAGGGGTGAGAGACTAAGAGATAAAATCTTCAGAAAAAAATGTTTCCAGCTCTAAATCCTGTGGTATTCACTGCAACGTGAGTTTAGTGCAGGCAGCAAGAGTTGCTAGAATGTTTGGGGAGGCGTCGTGCAGCTACTGAGCCTTGAGTGAACTTCAAAGGAAGAATTAGACTGGTCAGGGCAAAAGGAGAGGGCAGTCAGTCATTCCAAGCCCAGGGAGGAGTTGCTAAGAGATGACGTGGAGCAGGGAGAAGAATGAGAACAGCCCAATTAATAGGAAGGGTCACAGTATACACAGAGAAGGTCTCCAAAACTAGAAAGGAGTCTGGACTCCAAGACAGCATCACAGGTTCTTAGCCAGAAAATGGCACACTGAAAATCATGATTTTGGGCAGATGGGTTACCCAACTTCAGGCAGTGGTATGCCTGGACACCAGAGGCAGCAACAAGTAAAGGGCAAAGGGTACAGCCCCGAGATGAAAGATCCTTGGCCACTCAATGGAGCAATGAGGAAGGGTTGCACAAGCCTGTGAGGCAGGTGAGTGGTCACCACTGCCGAGCACAGGGTGCTACAGGGGCTGCCAGCAGCTGTTTTTATAGTGGGTGTGCAATACCCCAACCCCTGGGAATTCCATAACACGAGATAGAGAACCCTGGGACATCCAATTTTTACATGAGTCCTCAGGCTCAGAGTTTGCTGGAAGGACCAGTGAGGGTTCTGCAGTGCAGTGGACAATGTAATCCACCCTCCAGGATGCCCCTGCAGGACTCAGCCCACTCTAGAATGTTCTACGGTTGTTAAATGAGGAGTAGCCTGAAATGCTGAGACCTCCAACTAGAAAGAGAATGAGCAGGGATGAAAAGCCAGTTGTGCCAACAGCTCAGTCACCTCTGACCTCCAGGAAAGGGCTCAAGGCCCGGCTCAAACCAACACAGCTCAAGAAGACTTCCTGAAACCCCAGGTCAAGTCACAGTAATAGCAACCACACTCCTGACTCCTTTCTACAGTATTCCATATTTTTCACCTGGCCATGTCACTTGGAGGTTTCCAGACGGATGACTGCTCTGTGTTACTTATACATTTATGGGATTTGACAAACGATAAAGAGTTGCTTTGGAAGAGCAGACATATCATCTATATCAAATCTTTACTGAAGAAAGAAGCCAGGCACAAAAGGCCACATAATATATGATTCCATTCATATAAAATGTCCAGAATAGGCAAATCTATATAGACAGAAAGCAGATTAGTGGTTGCTAGGGGCCAGGGAAAGGGAAATGGGGATTGCTTAAAGGGTACAGGCTTTCCTTTTAGGGTGATGAAGATGTTCTAGAACTAGACGGTGGTGATGGTTGCAGAACATTGTGAACACACTAAATGCCATTGAATTATATGCTTTAAAATGGTTAAAATGGTGAATTTTATCACAATAAAAAAGCTTTAAACATACAAAACTATCCTAAGAGTTTACTCAAAAATTACAACCTGCCTGCCCTGTGCTGCCCTCAGCTAACATGGGATCCACAGTGGAGGCCAATACGGTTTCCACCCTTCCAGAACTTAAGCCAAGTACAGCAGCCCTTCTGGAAATTGTGTTCTGCAGAATACTAGCCCTGCAAGATGAAAAATAGGTACTCACACATGTAAATAATGCTGAGAAACACTTCACAGGGACCCAGGATCTACATTTGTCAATTAAAGCTCCACAGAGGACTATGGTTAAAAAGGTTTTTTAACCTTTGCTAAAACCATCATTTCCTATCCTTTGATTATAAGCCATTTTGTGTTTAAGATGATCACACTGTTTCAGGGGACACACTGAGAAATGCTAAGGTAGGGAGAACACATACCCATGCATGAGAGAATACTACAGTAAACATGACGCAAGGCAAAGCTCAATATCTTCAAATGCTGGACACATGTGTTGCAAAGTGTAAAGGCTCTGGTAGAAAGAGATGGAGGGACAGTCCAGGGCAGCTGGGGAGAAGGTGAGGCTTGGGAGGGCAGTCAGATGTGGAGAGGAGAGGACCAGGAATGGGAACCAACAGCAGCAGGAGCCCAGGCTGAGGCCTGGCCCATTGCAGCCATGGTGAGGAGGAAGCGAGACCAACCAGGCCAGAGGCTTACGCTGTGGAGGAGTGGAACATGCAGCCATGGGAAAGGCATGACAAAAACAGGTCCTCAGGCATGCTGAAATCTGAACTATATAAGCCTCAAACACAACTAAGGGTCCCCTCGGGTCTGTCAGGCTGGTGCCCTGGGCCGCACTTCATGCCAGGCCCTCTTTCCCCTCCTCAGCAGTCACATCTTCCCACTGTTCTCCAAACTGCCTATCAAATCTTCCACTGATGCTGGGGCGACTGTTAGCAGCTCAACATGGTAGCCCTGTCAAGGGTGTTGACTTTTGAACAGAGATCAAAGCCTTAAAAACCAAACTGAACTTTTCTAAAGAATAGTGAGTGCAGTTGGTTGGCATGGGTTGGTTATTTTCCTGTGGAAGGTAAAGAAGCCACCAAAATCACATGTCAGAGGATTGAAAACCTACTTTACCACCCTCACCACCTTTCCACCTGCACCCCGAGGTTCCTTCTCTCCTGAGTTCCTTATTCTGGTTTACATCTCCAGGTGCCCAAACCTATGAATTCAATCTTAGCTTCCATGTCTCTCAAGTGTAACTGGCCTCTTTGACCCATTGCCAAATATCACATTGTATGGTCCAGATCTCTGTCAGCTTGCTCCTGATGACAGTATCAGCTTCTGGAAATGCCTGCCACCCCAGGCCTCCAGTCATTTACACCCTGGGTTTTTTTCCTGAGGGCTCCAAATTAGAGCTCAGGAGAATGTTTTATAGGGAAGAAGAAGTAGTCATGACATGAAAATATTCATTAGCGAACTGACCTGGCACAAAGGATAGGGCATTCTACGGCAAAGGCATAAAATGCAAACGAACGTGCCAAGTCTGGGGCAAGTGAAGAAGAAGGCCACCCATTAATTGAGCATCTACTATGTTACTGTGTTTATGTATTTTAATCTCTTCTAATCTTTACAACAAATTTTTGCTAATTGTTGGAATATCAGATGATATAGTGACTAGACTATGTAAATAAGTTGCAAACTGGAACTGTGAATCAGCAACCAATGCAGAATTTAATAGAGTCCATGAAAGTCCTATTAGCCAACAATTGGATTCCACTCAAAGCCAATGGCAAACAATCTAGTTAAGGATTACAGAAGAAACACATATGGGAGCCTCCATAGAGAATGATCAAAGGATTAAGAGAGAACTTTGGAAAAAGTGAGAGAGTCCTCTCACGTGGAAAATGACTCAATGATCATGCTGCTGATGTCCATCATAAGCAAAGGACTACATTCACATTCTCATACAATTTTACTTAAAATATCCCAACACTTCCCACACAAGATTCACTTTTCGTTTAGTCTCAGAAATCAGCACAAGGCTGAAACTGCAATGTAACTTATTAAATGCAAAAACAGGCTTATTTTCAGTTTCATTTTTCAAGATATAGCCCCAGTCAAACCTTTATGGGCCGGCCTGGTGGTGCACTGCTACAGTGCGCCGCTTAGGAGCGCGGCGGCACTCCCGCCGAGGGTTCGGATCCCACATACAGACCGGCTGCTCACTGGCTCGGCGAGGTGCGGGCGCAACGCTGAGGGTTGCGATCCCGTTGCCGGTCACAAAAAAAGACAAAAAAAAGGAAAAAAAAAAAAAACTTTATTATTTCTACTATCCGTTAAGAAATATTACCCCCCTTATGGCTGGGTAATTAGCTCAGTTGGTTAGAGCACAGCCTTGTAACACCAAGGTCAAGGGTTCAGATCCCCTTACCAGCCTGCTGTCAAAAAAA